TCAATATCTTCAATGTCTCGAGAAAGAATGATAAATTAGTATACATCATTGAAAAGCATAAAAATTGTTCTATTCAAAACAGAAAGAATCCAATGTAGCGCCCATAAGAAAAAATAAAGCTGATGATGAAGGCCGGAAGACGGATAGCAAATTTGAAAACACCATTATGTTGCAGGGAAAAAGTGGCAACGTAGAAGTGCAATTAATTTTCGAATCCTTCGAAAAATAAAGCCAGAAAGAATTAAAAACCATTTTCCGAGATATCTGTTTTTTCCGTATATCTCCGGATATACTCGAAATTTCAGAACTTTCTCAACGGCATATTGTTAGTTAGATAAATGCGTAAAATTTGCTCTGAAGTAACTATTTGCGTATCTCTCATAGTTTTCGAGATCCCACTGGTGAGGGTCGAATTTGAAACACCTTGTATGCATGGATGATTCACTCAAAAAATATGCAAACCGCATAAACATATTGACACGTCTTTCTGGCGCATTAGCTATCATCAGTACAGTATAGCCAAGTGAAAGGTCAGAGAGAACTTGATTGTAGAAACAACAAACTGAATAGAGGAAAGTGTTTTTCATATAACTCAGCGTTCATATAAAAGTATTTGTTTCGAAAGTATTTTTTTCTTTCGTGTAATTCGTGTTATTTAATGTCTTCATAAAAAAAGCTGTTTCTTCTTGTCTGAAAGTTACTTCTTTGCATGATCTGCACATCTTTGTATTGACTTAACTTTTGGAATTGAATGCTTCCTTCTTTTCTTTGGAAGATTTCCTCATTTTTGTATCGAAATGGAGAAGTAGAAAGCCAAAACCTTTATTTCTCAAAAAATTAATCTCTCCAAAAAATATACCCTCTCAATTTGAACATGAATGCTTTTGATTATATGAAATTTACTAGCTAAATCATCGTATACTGGATCCAGATGTCATGCAGGTAGCTAAAGCTGCCTCGTGGTGACTTCAGTTATATCTCTAACTCGAGATGACCTGACCAAAACCACAAAGTGTGGCTGGCCTTTGTTTGATGACTCCGTTTATTTATGTTGTTTCTGCCATACCGTACTGATGACAGCTAATGAGCTAGAAACACCTGTCAACATGTGCCTGCGTTTTGCATATTTTTCATTGATTTCAAAAATAAGATTAAATTTTCATTCGATTTCCTGGTTGAGAGATATTCAGGATGAAAAGTTTTGAATTGATATCTTGTTTTTTTGTATTTCAGAAACTGATGAAATTGCGAAGAATCAACTAATAGTGTTAACATTACTACTTGTACTGATGAGAATCGACATATTGACCAAATTTACAGAACCGTCCATGAATAAAAAACAGGCCATTTGAGACACCCTAAACCGGAAATATTCTTTAATAATGTGAATTTCATGAAACCATTCCATTCTAAACATCTTCGGATATTCTACAAATGTGTTTGTCTCAACGCGACAACGTGTTTGCGAAACCAAGAAATAACAGTTCCCAACGTGTCTGCTTCATTTTAAAAATTTATGGAGGTGAAAAAACATATTATTCAATAAATTTACGGACGAATACCTTTGGTCGGAATTAAAAAAGCTTTCAAAATAGATCGAGTCAAACCCTCAGTCAACACAGAATAAAATAACACCTCCTTCAGTGGCGTAGATACAGAAGATTTCGGGGTGATTTTATATAAAATCGTGCATTGAAGTGATCATGAAAAAGTGAATCATAATGAGGCAAAAGTTTTTTTTTCAGGTACATTTTATGTTGTTCAGTTAAGTTTTTTCTATGTACGTTTAGAATCAATACTTTTTAATTATTTAATTATTCAACATTACGTTATTATGTCAATGGTTTTGAAACATTATTTTGTCTATTAGGATCAATTTAGATAATGCACCACTTTGTAGCATTAATAATTTTTTTTTGGTTCATTTTAAAGGAAAAATCCAGAAGTTTTACAGAATTATAAAACACTGACATTACTCGTGATTTTTTTTCTTCGAATTGGAAGATGAATTAACAAATTTTAATCGTAACTCATGTATGCCAATTACTGATGTCACATACAATGAAGAAAAAATCCATAAATTGATGGATGTAGCTGTTACTACATAGAATAAGATCATCATGAAACGAATACAATATTGTATTCGTTTGAAAATTTTCTTATAGAATAAAACTGCAGCGATATTTGTTTATAAGTGATATAAAACATAGGAAATTTTATTTCTCATTTTTCAAGGAAAAATCTACTTGATATCCCTCAACAATCTTGAATCCAAGAAAAATCAAACTATTATTTGGAATTCGTTCTCCAAACTACACAAATTATTGAATAAAATATTATGGATTTTCGAGATATGCTTTTTCTTTCTAACAAAACACCAGAATTCTGTTTCATATACATATATATGCATGATAAAATTAAATTTTCAAGTACAATCGAATTCAATTTTCAGGAAAGTAAATCGTCAGAGTAGGGCAGTAAGTGTCTCTATTTTGTCTTGTGAGATTTATTTAAAATTAACGAATGTTAATGTTGAAACAACGATTGATGATAAACTGGATGTTGCCTTAACTTAATTTTTTTTAATGTCGTCAGGTTTGGTGATCCAAATAATATTTTCAAATGCTTATTAGTTTGGAAAGGGATAAAACATTCATCGTAGATGAACAATTTAGTTGAAAAAATGTTTCGCACTTTAAATCCATCATCAGGGTTCAATAATAAAATAATTTCATTAGAAAACAGTATATATGCCAATTCATATTCCAAATTATTAAAGTTTCAACAATAAAAAAAATAAAACAAACAGTAGTCCTTCTATGTTTTTTCTAGTGTTAACACTTTTTTGTTTGAAAATGTGGATCATCTCACTAAACAGTTGTTTACCCAATAAAGGTTGAACACCTCGGTCGGTCGGTAGCCAAGCGGTTCGGCGTGGGTGCTTTGTTCACTCACTCGAATTGACTGCCGTGTTGGTCGGTGGTTCAAACCCTAGTCTGAACGATCGATCTTCACTTGCTATCTTCCAACCCGTGTTAGGAATCACACGTTAAAAAGTAAGACCTCTTTAATCCTTAGCTCGCACAAGTTTCGACTTCTGAGGGTTGTCGTTCGTAGGGATGCGACAGCTGGTTACCGGAAAAACAGATTTTAAACAGATTTTTCAAACATAAAATATTTGGGTTCCAAATTGTGGTTGCTTTCTGTTGTGTGTTCAACGATGGCTGTTGGATTGGCATTTTGTATCTCTTTCAAGTTCAGACAAGGTCTCAATCTGCCTACTCCCTTGCGTTTTGGTCTGGTTCTGGTCACAGGTTCTGGTCTGAACGAGTAAAAGGGTCGGACCGGGCGATGTGTGCAATGTTGTGAGATGTATGGCGTGGCAGTTATGATCTTCATGAATGAGGTTATCTTTGTGAAGCATTTCATTCCTTGAGGTAGTTGGGAAGTTTTTTAAGTTCAATAGCTTTCCATATCATCCTGAGTTTTTTAGGGGGCAGTGGTTGTGATGATTGAGAAGCTTATTGTGTGGCCTGTTTCACGATGATGTTTGAAGAGGGTTGAGACTGGATCTGATAAACGGACAGCAAGTTTATGCTCATAGGCTCTGTGGAGACTCTTATACCTATCTACAGGTCATTTCTGTTATTATGTGGTAACATGGCTGTATTCGTATCATAAACCATAACAGATACGAAGACGATTGAATGGGAAAAAGGGTAACTGTCATCGGGAACAATACAATGGTCGAAGCGAATTTGAGGAGAATCTTGCCCTTCTCGAGTTATACGGGGAAAACCAAAAATGCTGTTTTTCGTTTTTTTCGAAGAGAATTGTTATTTCGGAGAATATCAAAAAATGGAAAAGGGAAATACAGCTCACAGCTGATTAACAGAAAAACAGAACAGATTTTAAACAGAACAGACAGATATCTATTGGCACACACAACGAGTACTCTTTGAATTAATCAAATTCGTCAGCAAATTTGTCGAACCGCCCGGTTGGTAGCCGGGCGGTTAGACGTGAGTGCTATGTTCACTCACTCGAATTGACCGCCATGTTGGTCGGTGGTTCAAGCTCCAGGCTGAACAATCGATTTTCACTTGCTATCGTAGCACAAGTTTCGACTTCTAAGAGTTATCCTTCGTAGGGATGCGATAGCTGGTTAACGGAAAAAACATATTTCAAACATATTTTAAACAACAATTACGTCATTGATTCAGATATTGAAAGAATACTATATTTTAGGAGACTTGTTTGCTGAACACTAAAAGAGTAATATATGAATAAATGAGGAAATGCATCTAATTTTGAAAGTTCAAAATCCTTTATTTCAAAAACAATCCATTACAGGGTCTATATTATCAAAAACTTTTTTTTCATAAAATTGGTTCCTAACACGAATTCAATTTTTTTTCACCGCAATTCGAAAACACTCTGTATGTTGGGCTATAACCGACGAAAAAAAGGAAGATCTGAATCCTGTGAAAGGATTCACCAAATAGAACTATAGGGATATTTTCGGTTCATATCTGAGTGAATACAAAAAAAGTTTTCGCAATTGAGTGTGTAAAACTTCATATTACTTGTCGAACATTGGACAATGTTGTTTACTGCAAATACGGCTTGTATATGACATTTAGTGAGTGTATTCGAATGCTAGAAGAAACCTATGAGAATCCTTACTAATGCATGTTTTCGTGAACATGGCCGAGCTATTGTTATTCTGTTTGGTACCATGCCTCTTTCTTATTTGTATACAGGTTGTTTATTAAACATATGGAAAAAAATTGAAGGATTTAATAAATATGACTCCATTTTTTCCAATGTTTCAAGAATAGAGTCGCGCCACTGGATATATAAGCCTTTAATGATGACACATTACTTATTTATATAGTATTTGATGACAAACTAAGTCTATTTATTGCCAGAAATGTTTACAGATTGTCACAGTTACTATATCCTGGTAGACCAATGTATTCCCGAAGCACCGCCTCAAATCAGCAGACTTTCGGGCGACCTCCCATTCTGGAGGGGATGGATTAAGCTCATGCTCTAAAGTTAAGTCGTTTGATGAGATTTTCCAGTTTTCCACTGTTTATTACAAGTGAATGTGCTGGTGACTAAAGTTCATGTGATATATGTTTTTGGATAACAAATTGCAACTGATCGTAAGCCTGGAAAAGTTATTTTGTGATATCAAAAAAAGTGTTCTCAAATGTCAAGCAGTTTTTCTCTTGATTTACAGTTCAATTTCCAATGTTAACAGTAGAAATTGAAAATATAAACAGTATATCATATATTTTATTATAAATTTATGTGAGACTTTCAGTGAGTTCAAAAATTTTCATTTCAAAAAAATTTTGCAAGCAAATTCTGAATCAAATTCGAAATTCATAATGTCTCAAGTATATCTATTCATTTATTACTTACACCCAACCTATACCTGTGATGCATTGTTTGGAAACTTTGGTGTAGTAATGAATATTACTGGAGTTTTTTCTCTCAACATCAAACCGTTATTTTGACACCTCGATACGTGTTTCGACCACCAAGTGATCATCTTCAAGAGTAAGATCAAACTAATCATACTTACAAAGTTATCCTTATTTATACCATAGACACCTCTTCTAGATACCTGCGTTTTAGGTATCTTAAAATGATATCACGATATTGTCCTATCTACTAGTCTTAAATTGATTTTAAAATGTCTCCTTATGTAATAGTCAGGTAAATCTAATAATTGAAATATTATTTTAACAAGCTATATAGTATACTATTAGGTATTGGTCCACCATCGTTATTCATATTATTATGTTTACTTATTTTTACACTCTCAAAATATGATGAGCAACTGCTGATTTTTCTGGTCTTCCATATTTTAAGCGTTCTAAGTGTTCCTTATATCTTATTTTGATATATCTTTTTGTCTGTCCATAATATTCTGCATCGCATTCCTTACATTTTTTTCGTAAATTCCAGACATTCCGAATTCTGGACTTTGTTTTTCAGCCCAGCACGTTTGTGACGTCCACAGTGTTGTGAGCTATCAGGAACATACCTGTAAGTGCTTGTTTCTTTTCTAAATACATCGTATTCTAGCCCTCCATTTCGGCTCCTCATTACCAAAACGCCAAGAAAGGAAAGTTGTCCCTTATTTTCTAAATCATACGTGAAATTTTATTGATGAAAATTTATTTTTTTAAATATATTTTAAAAGGAAACAAAATCCTTGATATTCGATTTTTTGTTATCGAATATCGCGAAAACATCATCCACATACCTTAGCCCTATCATAGGAAAATACTTTGACTTTTCTTTGGTTTCCATTTTATTGTTTTCCATAATTTTCTATTGCATCGTCTTTTGACTTATCCTATCACACATGAGAGGTTTACAAAAGAAAAACGTACAATATAGGAAATAGCAGCCACTAACGGTTTCTCGAGGGGTATTGTAGATGACATTATAAGGAAGAAAAAGTTTAGGTTAAGGTTGAACGCAATATTGATTTTTGAAAACGACAAAAACCAAGATGAATATATCTCAGTTCCATACCACCAATGCATGAAGAACATTGGAAGGATCTTCAAGGAACTAGGAATGAGGGCTGCCCAACGTCATACACTATAGGGCCTTTTAGGAAGTCCAAAAGACAAAATCAAGAATTCGGAAATTCTGGGATTTACGAAATAAAATGTAAGGACTGTGATGTAAAATATTATGGATAGACAAAAATATCAATTGAAATGAGATATAAGGAACACTTAGTACACAAAAAATATGGACACCTTATGGTATACTCTAGAGCTTGTTAAAATAATGTTCGTTCTATTGTTCTCAACTTTTTTGAAATAATCAGACAAAATAGTGAATATATAATTATCAATTCGTTACAGATTTGCGATCTCACATTGAATTTCAATTTACCAATATCGAGAACAATATAAAATAAAGTGCATTGTCACGTATTGTATTTCTTATTCTCAGTCAATAAATTGTACACCATGTAAACATAGTAAATCGTAGCAGCCTTGGCGGAAGCAAAAACTAATAGTTCAGCGTTTTTTATGTAATTGACTTGAGAACTGAAATAAGAACAGTCTATTAGAAATCGTCGTTTCATTAAGATATATAACATATCATCATATCATAGTTTATTTTGTGATATATCATTTGCTAATAAATGAACATTATTTTTAGGAGAAAATGAACTTACGCCGATAGTCACAAGAGTTCTTTTAAGTGAAAAAAATCTTGGAGGAGGTTATACTTGATGTCTCATTGAAAGTAAATTTCAATGTGTTTGAAATATATACCCTACCTTACTCCCTTTTGAGAAAGAAGTAAAAAATTCAAAATTGAATAAATGAAAAAAAATGTGTAACGTGGAACAATTATTAATTTGTTGTGATTTGTGACTACTATGATATTCTATATACTTTCTTCAATATTGNTCCTCAAGCACGTTATTTTAGGTAACATCCCTCCGCCTTCGGCGTCGGGATGTTACCAAATAACGTGCTTTCGAAAACTGTGATAAAATTATTTCGTTAGTTATCAATGTCCTTGGGATATTATAGCTGATAAGAGTATTAGAATTCCAAGGATTACGATTTGGTTTCATTTAATTTTTCTTTCATGAAGTATGATATTATAAGATTATAATGACAATATACCTAATATACTCATTGTCGATGGAATGTTATTTACTTCAACAGCTGATTTATTGGTTATACGTCAAAAAACCGAACAAACTCTTCATATATAGACCATCACATGGTAATGATATGAGACTATTTTCAAAAGCCTACCAGTAATAGTCATCAATTTTCATTATTGTTCAAATCAAATAATTGAATTTTCCAGTATCTATGCAGTAATGTATGATAAAAAACTATAACTCTTCACGGACATATGATGTATGACATTTCTTCAATATATTTCTGCGTGGAAGAAACTTTCGAACATTTTAATTCTCATTTGTAACGAATATTGGAATTCGAACAGAAGATGGGTAATAACAGGAATGAAAAGTAAGAAATAAAACTCTCTGTTTCTATACCACCTGTATTTTAAACAATGTTACTGCAGTTTCGTTCTATAAGGACATTTTCAAACTAATACAATGAACTGAAATGATTGCTAATGTTAACATTCACATATGTATACATCACTAGGTCCTGAACTCAATTGTGTACCTGAATTTTGTTTACCTGTGACAATGTAGGTATGCTAATCTCCACAATGTTACATCCACAATGATAATGCTTACGAATTACTAAGGATTCAAAATAATTGAGTTTCCGTTCCTTGCTTGCCTAGTGCAGAATGTCCCAATCGTTTAGATTCGGGAACTTGTGGTTGCATTCCAAGGAATGGTTTGAAAACGACAAATCATTTTCACCTAGTCTGAAAGACTTTTCATGTTCAGCGTATCGTTTTGAGGAATTTCGGCCACATTGTACCACATAAACACTCTTACACTCCAGACACTTGAGCTTATAAACTCCAGATTTCTCCATCTTTTCCTGATTATTTTTGGCATTGAAAAGGAAATTAGATAACCAAATTGTTTTTTTCTAAAAATCTCGCAATTGTCTCTGTTTTTTTACCAAAATATGTTGAAGGTTCAAATTTCTAGATCTCTGATTTTTTCATCTGGGGGTATATTAATCTGTACGTAAATTTGAGGCTTTGTGTTTTGACTGACTTCTGATTTGTGTAAGGGATGAAACCATTATTACGTCCTGTCTGTATAATTATTTCAATTTTCCTATCAAGATTGTTAAAAAATAAAGGTAACGAGAATGATTTGTGTAACATTGAATTTTAGGTTGCTAATTCATGACCTGTCGGGATGGAAAGAATCATTTGGGATTGTGATTATATGATTTTCACTATAAAGGGTTTTACAAAAACCGCGACACGTGTTTCTCCATAGAATAGCTTCCTCAAGCGTAAACTCATATCCATTATGATTATGTGTAATGGTCAGTTCTAAGAAAATAATCTGTTTCTCTATCTCTGTACAACAAAAAACTGTAACAATCGGTATACTCGCAACAATTACATATTCAACAATTCCCTAATATGTAGGAAATGAAATATATCCAATGCCAAATGTGGTTGCAGATATCATTGTTCATTTGGAAGGCTTTCAAAAAAGCTTTAAGAAGTATTTCTCTAAAAATTATTCAAAAGTGGACTGTATCAGGAATCCTTTTTCGGGAACCTCACCAAATGAATTGGAACTGAAATCAAGTTTTATCGACGTTACAGAAGATGGTTCCATGAAAGATTATTTTAAAGAGACTAATTTCTGGATCGGATGAAAAACCGACAGGCTCTGCTATTTTTGATGCCATTTCTTATTGAGTTATTCGTGTGAGAGTGGATTTTCTGATCTCTTGTACATAAAAAATAAATATAGAAGCAGAATAAGTGTTCAAGAGAACTTAAGAGTGAAGATAAGTTCTATTACCCCTAATGTTGATGTTTTGATCACAGGCAAAAACAACAACAGGTTTCGTACTAAAGACTATAAAAGTATATTTCTGCTGGCTGTTGAAGACCCCTGAGTTTTCAATCTATAACCATCATTCTTCCTTTCAAGAAATGCGATAACCTTTGAGAAAGTATTTTTACATTTTTTTCGCCAAAATGAAACTTTATGAAATAGAATACATACTTCACACGGTAGGGAATTTGATAGTTTCAGATTTATGCGCGAAATAATCCAAAAAAACCTTTGATACTTTTGCATTTCTTCGCATCCATCCGATTAGAGAACAAATCAAACGTTTTCGTACCCGGACTTTGATTTTTCAGGCAATAATTATCCTGTAGCAGCAGCAGCTGCTGCATCGTTAATTCCGTAAAGCATATTTTCAATCTCACTATTGCTGCTGCTTTTCAAAGTTGAGGGCGATAATTGCGGACAAAAACCAGAATCCAGAATCAAAATGTTAACTTATTTCATTTTCAATAGCTGTCAATCATCATTCAGCTGTTTTGCTAATCATGAACCCGATTCATCAAATCTACACTAACCAAGAATTTCATATTCAAAATGACAACAACATTGTAATTCGTCCCGGATTAGGTCGGAAAAATGCTACTTTCTCAAAAAAAAACGTGCGAGACGTGGATACCTCTTGGACGCTTGCTGAAAAAATCTATTAAAAACACTTTTTCCACACCAGAACAAGAATACCGTCTCTTGACGCAAGTTTCTATAACCAAGTTCACCTTATCAGAAGAGATAATCCTAACTTGGTTAGTCATTTCCTCATGGTTCACTGGTTAGCAAAACTCGCAAAAAGAGACGTGTGGAAAAATTGTTCTCAATGAATTCATTTCACGCCAGAGGTTAAAATTATTGAAAAACATTCTGATGATATTTTTTCTCGCTTCGTGATACGGTGGTAAGGAAATGCCTCAAGTATTTAGGGATATTCCCAGAATAATATGTATAGAGCCGACTTGATAACATGAAGATGAAAAATATATATCTCATGAAATACATAACTCAAAATAAAAATGTTACACAAATAAACATATCAACACAATATTCCCTAATGAATGTTTGAAGGTGATTGACAATGTTTCATGATGAATTTCACTAGTTCGGACTTCCATTGTCTAATATATAAAATAATTTGAAATCCCTGAAACAACTAAAAAAGAAGAATTAAAAATAAATTGCTGTAAATAACAATTATATTATTGGTAGACTTCCACCCACCGTTTCTCTTTCAATTTGTGATCTTTACATCATTATCAGCAAATAACGTCGCTGAAGTTCGACGAATGCTATGACATAGGTCAATTTGAAAATTCTGCGATTTCTAATCCGATATTACTAAAACTATGAATGTGTTTTGGAATCTGGTATTTTTACAAGCAACATGTCTAGCATGTCGTTTTTTAGATCACTCGACAATTTTGTCAGTTCTCAATAATTGTTTCTACCTGGAAATGAAGCAAATTGAGTCGATACTTTTGTATCCCTTAATGGTAATTTTTTGTGGAAATTACCATTGGCATCAGATATATTTCATCATTTGCTTCCCCAATGGATTTGATGATCTGCTGGCTGTTGAAGACTCCTGAGTTTTCAATCTATAACCATCATTCTTCCTTTCAAGAAATGCGATAACCTTTGAGAAAGTATTTTCATTTACATTTTTTTCGACAAAATGAAACTTTATGAAATAGAATACATACTTCACACGGTAGGGAATTTGATAGTTTCAGATTTATGCGCAAAATAATCCATAAAAACCTTTGATACCTTTGCATTCCTTCGCATCCATCCGATTGAAGAACAAATCAAACATTTTCGTACCTGGACTTCGATTTTTCAGGCAATAATTATGCTGTAGCAGCAGCAGCTGCTGCATCGTTAATTCCGTAAAGCATATTTTCAATCCGTGTTAGGAATCACACGTTAAAAGGTAAGACCTCGTTAATCCTTAGCTCGCACAAGTTTCGACTTTTGAGGGTTGTCGTTCGTAGGGGTGCGACAGCTGGTTAACGGAAAAACAGATTTTTTTTTTTTCAAACAGAATCTCACTATTGCTGCTGCTTTTCAAAGTTGAGGGCGATAATTGCGGGCAAAAACCATGCAAACTTCCAGAATCAAAATGATAACTGATTTCATTTTCAATAGCTGTCAATCATCATTTAGCTGTTATACTAATCATCAACCCCATTCATCAAATCTACACTAACCAATAATTTCATATTCAAAATGACAACAACAGTGTAATTCATCCCGTATTAGGTCGGAAAAATGCTACTTTCTCAAAGAAAAAACGTGCGAGACGTGGATACTTCTTGGACGGTTGCTATAACCAAGTTTCTATAACCAAGTTCACCTCATCAGGAGATGATCATCCTAACTTGGTTAGTCATTTCCTCATGGTTCACTGGTTAGCAAAACTCGCAAAAAGAGACGTGTGGAAAAATTGTTCTCAATGAATTCATTTCACGCCAGAGGTTAAAATTATTGAAAAACATTCTGATGATATTTTTTCTCGCTTCGTGATACGGTGGTAAGGAAATGCCTCAAGTATTTAGGGATATTCCCAGAATACTATGTATAGAGCCGACTTGATAACATGAAGATGAAAAATATATATCTCATGAAATACATAACTCAAAATAAAAATGTTACACAAATAAACATATCAACACAATATTCCCTAATGAATGTTTGAAGGTGATTGACAATGTTTCATGATGAATTTCACTAGTTCGGACTTCCATTGTCTAATATATAAAATAATTTGAAATCCCTGAAACAACTAAAAAAGAAGAATTAAAAATAAATTGCTGTAAATAACAATTATATNTTTGAATTTTTCAAGAATTTTCTAACTCATTAACAATTGTATGGGAAACAATTTTTTTCCTAATCATTCGCGAAGATTAGGATTATTTCAGTAGGTTTTCAGTTGCCTTATAGGAACTTATTGATAATCAATTTCATTTATACAATGTGAACATCACGAAGTTGATAACAAGATTGATAGGGAAACACTGCTTGACATGAAAATCTAATTTTATGAGGAATGAAAACTTTACATTTCATTCGGTTCGGTTGCAGTTTGAGAGTATTTTTCTTGAACCACAGATTTCAAAAGAAGCTATAGAACCAATGATGTTTCCATCACAGCAGTTGGATCAATGTTACTGTCTGGACCATTTCAGTGATTGTGTTACTCAAAACCCTTTTTTTGCCCAAAGACTATTCAACCCCTACTACTCCCAACTGTGGTTTCCGTTACCCATAAAAATTCCACAACCCCGCCCAGAAAAGCCACCGTACTCCTACATTGCACTCATAGCCATGGCCATTTCCTCATCTCCCAAACAGAGACTCACACTCAGTGGCATATATAGATTCATCATGGACAATTTTCCCTACTACCGGGAAAACAAACAAGGCTGGCAGAATTCCATAAGACATAATCTGAGCTTGAATGACTGTTTTGTGAAAGTGCCAAGGGATAAAGTGTCACCGGGAAGTAGTGAACAGTCCGGCGGTAAAGGGAGTTATTGGATGTTGGATCCTAGAGCATCGAATATGTTCGAGAAGGGAAATTATAGAAGGAGGAAAACGAGGAGGCAGAGGATTGCGGAATGCACGTATCAGGTGAGAGGGACATTCAAATTATTTCAAGTTTTTTCTTGATTAGTTACGACATTAGTTAATGGTCTCAAACTTTATAACTATCTTGTAGATCTATTCAAATTGGAAATTGATTAACATATTCAAATAACTCACTGTTTCCGCGGTCAGCAATTTGATAATCTGAAGTCCAATAATCTGAACTCCCAAGTAACGACGCTTGACAGTAGGCAGATTGAGACCCTTGCAGAGACCTGGGGAGCAGGCGCCAAGTCAAAAACCCTCAAAACGTGTCACTACCTGAAGAGTAGGCACATTGCTACCTCAGTGTTAGACATCATTCACAGCCAACAACCAAATCTCCACTATATTAAGAATACCCAAGGACATGATACGCAACGAAGCACATGGCATATACGAAATACAACAAAGCCTATGAATATGAACTAGCTGTTCGCAAATCAGATCCAGTATCATCTCTCTTCAAACACCACCAGGAAACAGGCTTCAAAAACACCAAGACCATTGCTACGGAGAAAAATATTCAGGCTAGGATAATTTGGGAAGCAATCGAAATTGAAAAACATCCCAACAAGCGAGATAATTCGCAGAGGCTACCACAAACATGGAGGACAGTTTGTCACGCGAGATACCTGAAAATAACTCAGGTACCCGGTCAGGTAGACCGGATATCTGCCACAACAATATAAATATGGGCCCCAAACAACAGAGTGACCATACCCTGAAGAGGCATAAGCCTATAGCAGGGTCCTACACAAAAACACACACACACACACACAAAAATTGTAAATACCTGTAAAATTTGTAATATACGATTTTCATTCATTCATTCAACAGAGTGACCAGTTACCGATCGCGAAAGAATAGCACCTAAAGGCTGACTTTCGACCAAAAGAGGTCAGATGTTGATCTTGCTGAAGTGTCCGTCAGTAAGTTGAGGACCGCTCGGACAGCGGGGGTGGATGGAGTGGGGTAGTAGGTTCTGGCAGAGTGTCCAGTGCGTTGAACGAGTTGAACACAGCAAGCATAGTGCTAGTAACGAGACTTGGGGACAAGGGAGATTGCGACCCCGTCCTCGAGTCACGTAAGGACAAATCTAAGTGATTCTTGAAATGGCTCCAAAGCAGGAGTCGAAACGATGAAAATAACAGACGCGGTTCCACCCGGATAACAGTATATCATATGGTCGATGTTTCGAGAATGTTTATTCCCTTCATAAAGACATCCACGTGAAATTTTAAACATAGAAACAAAATTGTAAAACAGATAGGTGAAAAATGTACTTAACAACTTGAGGTTATAGTAGAAAGTCAGACGTGGCAATGAGAAAAACAAAGTTAATACTTTTCATCATGTAGAAAAGTGTCACACATTCAATTCAAAATTAGAGAGAAAAAGTACAGAAACTTATTTTATTCAAACATTTAAAAAAGTTATTTTACTGGCCCATGCTTGGCACTTACTCGGTGGCATGGTAGCAACCAAAGAGAGAGAGAGAGGAAAGAAGATATATTTGAATTTTGATAATTGACATTATGGAAAGACATTTGAAGTTTGATAATTCGACAGAGAAAACGACAGGGTTACCAAAAGGCATACCAAACCCATGGCTGACCCAATCAAAATCAATAGTATCTGTTTGACTCTTGGTATAGTGCCGCCAATCACTCCCAACTGACATAAATGGTTTTTCACAGACTCAGCACTGCTCCCAAACGTATGATGTCTGGAAAATTTGATTATGGATAGATAACGCCTGGACTGAAAAGTCCCGGGCCTAAAAATGTCCAAACACTGCTCGAAATCATCAAAACGTTCTTGTTTTTGATCAACAGTGAGCTCGTGCGGCATCCACTTTCTCATAGTCAAATGTTCATGCAATATAAAGCCAACATGTTCTTTTGGTATCTTTACAATGTCAGCAAACTCATTAGTCTAATCAACAAGTTCAAAAACATTTTTTTTATTTATTATTTAATTGTTTATCAGTTTAACAATTTGTTATAAACAAATATTGACTAACGTTATATTTTTTTCTGAAGCACAAAAAAATTATAGAAACAGCTATATACAGGGTGTTGATTAGGAATGTACCATTAATTCAACAGACGATTCTTTA